TATCTCTCTTTCCCTCTCCCTTCCTCTCTCTGAAATCAATAAAAACATTTTTGTTTTTTAAGTAGAAGCTCCTCGGGTGGTTCCAATGCGCAGTCAGGGCTGTGAGAACATGGGGATGCTTCAGGGGACGTGGCTTTCACAGGAGAACTCGGGGAGCAGTGGGAGACTGAAGGCCACCTCCTCCCTGTGGGAACCGCCCTGTGGCAGGGGGCGGACCTTACTTTGTATGAGTTGAGGACCTGCAGGGTGGTCCCGGACGCCAGCTTCAGCCGGATCAGTTCCTGGTTCCTCCCTTCGATCGTCTCTAAGAACTGAGCGTTCTCTATCTTCAGCTGCTGGAAATCCACGTCATGGAGGGCCTCGCCCACCTCTTCCTTCTACAGGTCAGAGGGGAGGGAGAAATGACAGGAGGGAGTGACTTCCGAGTGTACGGCCCACATCCTGCGACTCTGGGTGAGATTCTGGAAGCCAGGCCTCACTCAGTCATTCAACAAACACAGCCTGCGGCTCTGCGTGGGGCCAGGCGTGGCACTAGGCCCTGGGGACAGGGATCTGAGCGTAAAGGCTACTCCCTGGCCTCACGGAGCGCATCCTCGGTGAGGGTTCACAGACAGGTGCGGGGTGGTGGGACCGGCAGGAGCATCGGGCACATGGAGGCCCCTGGGCCAGGCCAGGGAGAATGGAAGGCGGGGGCAGGCAAGGCTTCCCTCCCTCTCAGCTCCCTCTCCTCCGACGTGAACTCCAGTTACCGATCCTCTAAGCCTGGAGTTCCTACGGAGGCACAGGGCTCCGGGTCCGGCTACTCAGAACAGACTGGGGCGAGTTAGATCATGTGAACTATTCTTCACGCGATCCTTTCCTGGGGGGACGGGGGGAGCCCTCTGGTGCTTGGAGTGTGGCCTGGGCCCCAGCATCGCCCCAGCTGAGCTGCCTCCAGCAGGTGAACTATGGCTAAGCCATCTGGCACCTGAGCAGAAATGTTGGGGGTCAAAGTAGAGGAGCTTGCATTTGTCCTCAGTCACTTTGTGCCGTCCCAGATTGTGGAGTCTTTCGAGATCCCACATCAATCCGGCACGCATCCCTGGATGTGTTAATTCTCCTGCCCAATGTTGTGTCACTGTCTGGGGCCACCTCTGACATGCGTACCATCCTACCATCAGGGCCCAGGTTCAAGCTCACAATGAACCCCTCGAGCGAGGAGAGGATGGAGCTCTGTCATCACACCCCAGAGACCCTCCGCACGTCCGCCTACCGCCTTCGGGTCAGCTGTCCAAGGACCCACCAAGGCATACGACAACCCTGCCACCCCGGCCACATCCCCCAAACCATCCACAAATGCGACGCGATGAGGGCCCTTGAAATTCAAGCCAACTCTGTCTACGGATTCACCAGCACAGAAACTGTATTAGTTTCCCGTGGCTGCTGTGACGAATGGCCACACACTCAGTGGCTTATCAAACAACACAAATCCACTACCTCACGGCTCAGGAGGCCAGAGCCCGAGGCCGTTCTCTGGGCTGCAATCAAGATGCTGGCAGGGCCGCCTCCTTCCGGAGGCCCCTGGGGAGACCGCTGCCTCGCCCTTGCCAGCTTCTAGAGGCGCCTGCCTTCCTTCGCTCCGGGCGCCTTCCTCTGCCCTCCCAGTCAAAGCTCTGTCTTGGAGCGTCGTCCTGATATGACCTGGTTGTGGGTTTGCTCCCCGGTCAGGGCACATACACGAACCAACCAATGAATGCGTCAATGAGTGGACCAACACATTGACCACCCCCTCTCTCTCCCGTCCTCTCTCTAAAAATCAATAATAATTTTTTTTAAACACATCAGCCCAGCTGACTTGGCTCAGTGGTTGAGCAGTGACCTATGAACCAAGCGGTCACTGGTTCAATTCCCGGTCAGGGCACCTGCCTGGGTTGTGGGCTTGATCCCCCGTGGGGGGTGTGCAGGAGGCAGCAGATCAATGGTTCTCTCATCATTGATGTTTCTCTCTCTCTCCATCTCCCTCTCCTTTCCTCTCTGAAGTCAATAAAAAATAATTTAAAAAGACATCACTCTGACCTCTGCTTCTGTCATCACATCTTCTCCCCTCCTCACTGGACGCTTGTGGTTGTGTGGAACCTTCTCAGACAACCCAAGATTACCTCTCCATCTCACGATCCTCGACTTTAATCACATCTGCAAAACGCTTTTGCTGTGTGAGGTGATGTATTCAGATTCCAGGGATTAGGACACAGACATCTTCGGGTGGGCATTGTTCTACCAACCACCATAACTTAAAAAACAGAAGAGGCCACATACCTGCCTCAGCTGCAAAAGCATCTTTTTCCTCGTGACTTTGAGAGAAACATTTTTCAAACGTAATTTATCCTTCATATTATCCTGGAAAACAAAAGCACATTTTAATCCATTTCTCTTCTTCTTCCCTGTTGGCTTGAAACGGTTGGTAAGTCTGAGGCTACAAACCAAACCTTGAGCCCTAACAATCAGTCACTTATTTTAAGGTCCTTTTACATCTACGCAAGCTGGTGTTGCTATAGCATTTCATTCATCACCAAGAAGCAGAGGGCCCTGACCGGTCTGGCTCAGTGGATAGAGCGTCGGCCTGCGGACTGAAGGGTCCCAGGTTCGATTCCGGTCAAGGGCATGTACCTTGGTTGCGGGCACATCCCCAGTAGGGAGTGTGCAGGAGGCAGCTGATCGATGTTTCTCTCTCATCGATGTTTCTAACTCTCTATCCCTCTCCCTTCCTCTCTATAAAAAAAATCAATAAAATATATTTAAAAAAAGAAAAAAATAAGAAGAAGCAAAGGAAGCTGGGTCTGTCCTATGCAAATTTTCTATTGCTTTTAAATTCAGGATAATTTGGGTAGAGGAGCCTTCCCAGACAAAATGATTTTATGATTCTTTGGTCTTGTGTTCTCTTTCTTACATAATTTTTATTATTTATAACTGATCAGGGTTAGTAAGCCAACCCATCTTCAGAATCCAAAGCTGATACACTGCAAAATCTTTGAAAATGAAGGAGCATTTTATAACTCATTCTTTTAAAAAAATTTTTATTTATTTTAGAGGGAGGCAGGGAGATGGATAGAGAAATAAAAACATCCGTGAGAGAGAAACATGGATCGGCTGCCTCCTGCAGACCTCCCACTGGGGATGGAGCCCACAACTCAGGCATGTGCCCTGACTGGGAATCGAACTGTGACCTCCTGGTTCATGGGCCGATGCTCAACCACTGAGCCTCACCAGCTGGACTCGTTCTTATAATAACGGAACTGAACGAGCTTGAGATGTACCTGTCTCACTCCACACCATCACTTGACTGGATAGGCTCATATGATTCTCAAGGAAACATGTCAGTCCTGGCCGGCCGGTGTGGCTCAGTTGGTTGGAGCACTGTTCTCTACACTGAAAGGTTTCTCGGGTCTAATTCCCGGTCAGGGCACATACCCAGGTTTCGGGTTCAATCCCTGGTTGGGGCACATACAAGAGGCAACCAATCAATGTTCCTCACTCACATCAATGTTTCTCTCTCCCTCACTTCCTCTCTCTCTCAAATCAATGCATGTCCTTGGGTGGGGAAGAGAGAGAGAGAGAGAGAGGAAGGAAGGAAGGAAGGAAGGAAGGAAGGAAGGAAGGAAGGAAGGAAGGAAGAAAGAAAGAAAGAAAGAAAGAAAGAAAGAAAGAAAGAAAGAGAGAGAGAGAGAGAGAGAGAGAGAAAGAAAGAAAGAAAGAAAGAAAGAAAGAAAGAAAGAAAGAAAGAAAGAAAGAAAGGAAGGAAGGAAGAAAGAGAGGGAGGGAGGGAGGGGAGGGAGAGGAGGGAGGAAACATATCAGATCTTGAAACAAATAGCAACAATGAAAATAAAAATCCTCCATCTGAGATACTGTTGATACTCGCCCTGCCTGCCTGCCTGAGCCCGGATAGATTTGCATTCTAAAGCACACACACATGGGGAGATGTAAAAATCCTCACATGGAGCAACGCTGATGCTGGACCAGCTGCAGCGGGGCTGCCTCCCGGGATCCCTTCCACGTCATCCTTCAAGGACTCCCCTCTCCCTTTCTAAGCGCCAGCCTCCTGCCGACTCACCCTCCGGCGGTTCGCGTCCTCAATGTACTTCAGCACTTTCTGAGTGGCCAGGATACTCCCTTTCTTCTTGGCGATGGTTTTCAAAATATCTTTTTCAAACTCTTGCATTGCTTTCTGAACTTCAGCCATCCGAATTTCAGCTTCCTCAATGATAGCCTGGGGGAGTCAGCACAGAGAGAGAACAGCATTTCCAAAGGTTCTCAAGGATGAATCCCACCTTCCCAGGCCTCTTTGCGCCCAATATACTGTGTTTCTTCTGAGTCTTAGAATCATACCCTTAAGATGCAGATGTGACTACATGAATGTTATTATGCAAAAGCCTGCCTCAAAAAAGTTAATATTAACATAAAAAGGCGGCAAACAACAACAGAGCCTCAGGGCTCTTTATAAATATGTATTTTCATGTCTAAAATATTTATCCATGAAAATTATAACATTCATATAATATATAATAATAAAAGAGTAATATGCTACGTGAATCCACGGATCTGTCCCTCTGCGGACAGCGAGCGTGTTCCTGTGTGTGCGCCCACGTTTAGAAATGGAACAATTTAGAGCTAGAACAGAAATACCTGTTTTTCATACAACACGGCTCTCAAATACTAGTAGAAGCCCACACCTTCATCCCATGGGCAAGCTCATTCACAGTCCCGCATCTTCCCAGGAGGAAAACTGGCCTTGTTGGTCTCCAACGAGGCATGGACCACAGTCATGCATGTTGCATAGGGAGGGAGACTTCGGGATTTTTCAACCAACTCACTGAATTAAACCTCAACCCCCTTGTATTATTAAGAAATTATTAGTATACATTTTAAGGGGATGATTACTATGGTTATTTTATTTTTTAAATATATTTTATTGACTTTTTTTTTTTTTTAACAGAGAGGAAGGGAGAGGGATAGAGAGTTAGAAACATCGACGAGAGAGAATTATCGATCAGCTGCCTCCTGCACACCCCCAACTGGGGATGTGCCCGCAACCAAGGTCCATGCCCTTGACCGGAATCGAACCTGGGACCCCTCAGTCCACAGGCCGATGCTCCATCCACTGAGCCAAACCAGTTAGGGCGGTTAAGGTTTGTTTTGTTTTTTAAAAGAATCCATATCTTAGAGACATATCCTGAAATATTTGCAGATGAACAAGATGCCCAGGATTCATTTCATGACAGCCCGCTTGCCTATTCCAGGGGGGAGTTGGTAGGGATATGGAGGAAACAAGAATGGCCATATGATCATGACTGTTGAATGTGGGTGCTAAGTATATAGGGGTTTCCTTGTGCTAGCCTCTGTTCATTTGTATAATTTTGAAATTTTCCATTAAAATTTTTTAATTTGTTTTCTCTTCAAGGAGGTGGTACGTTCCTTAAAGGTAGGCCCTCTCCCTGGCCGGTGTGGCTTAGTTGGTTGGAGCACCGTCCCGGACGTACACTGAAAGGTGGCGGGTTCAATTCCCGATCAGGGCACAATTCCCAGACTTCGGTTTGATCTCTGGTCAGAGAGCATGCAAGAGGCAACCGATCCATATTTCTTCCTCACATTGATGTTTCTCTCTCTTTCCCTTCCTCACTCCCTCTCCCTAAAATCAATGGGAAACATACCCTTGGTGAGGATTTAAAAAAAAAAAAAAAAGCCCGGCCGGTGTGGCTCAGTGGTTGAGCATCAGCCCAGGAACCAAGAGATCCGCAGGTTTGATTCCCGGTCAGAGCACATGCCTGGTTTGAGGGTTCGATCCCCTGTGAGGGGCGTGCAGGAGGCAGCAGATCGATGTTGACGTTTCTCTCTCACCGATGTTTCTATCTCTCTATCCCTCTCCCTTCCTCCCTCTCAAAAAAATCCATCAATCAATCAATACTAGTAAAAAACATTTTTACAAAATAAAATAAATTAACCTAATCCATCATATCAATAGACCAAAAAAAAAAAAAGGTAGGGCCTCAATTTGTCTTAATCGACTTGTATTTCTTTCAAAGTGCAATCAATCCTGTAAGATGGCCGGGGGGAGGGAGCCCCAGTGGGGGGGCCTGCAGGGAGAAGGGGTTACCTCGTGATGCTGCAGGTCCCGCTCGGCGTTGGCCCTCAGGTGCCTTATTTCCTCCTTCATGTCTTCCAGCTCCTTTCGCACGAGATCGCATTTTTGGTCAACGCTGAGGCTGGACGTACGGTCCGGGCCTGAGCGGGATTTGGACTTGCGCCTGCTTCGCAACTATACCTCGGGAAAAACAAAGCCGCTGTCAAGAAGGCGTTGGTCACAGAGCAGCTGAAGGTGGGCATGGACATGACTTCTCTGACCCGCTAGAAAGTACTTGAATGACAGCCGGAGAGAACAAACTCAAAGTGAGAGGATTCTGGATATTAGGCCGGAGGTGACACCTATTTCACCAGCCAACCTAAGGCCTAAGCTTGACAAGGAACTGAAAATGAGTCAGGGCCAGTGTCTCCAGGATGGAGAGATGGTGAACCTGCTCTGGACTAGCATTCAAGTCCGTGCCAGGGAAAGCCCGGAGCTCAGAGTTTCCTGAGCTGAACACAGAAGAGAAATTGGATCCGGGGGGACAGGAGTCAGCAAAAACAAACAAAGAGACAAAAATGTTGGGTCTCCTATGCATTTGAGCCACGGGTCACACGAAGGTGGCCCAGGAAATATGTGGACCTCAAGATGGGATTGCTTGGCTCTCAAAGGATAGGCTTACACACGATTTTTAATTAAAAAAAAAAAAATTAATTAGCCCAGCCAGCGTGGCTCAGTGGTTGAGCATCAACCTATGAACCAGGAGGTCACGGTTCAATTCCTAGTCAGGGCACATGCCTGGGTTGCAGGCTCGATCCCCAGTGTGGGGTATGCAGGAGGCAGCTGGTCAATGATTCTCTCTCACCATTAATGTGTTTTTTTTTCTCTCTCTCCCTCTCTGAAATCAATAAAAAAATATTTTTAAAAAATTAATTACCCACACTTGAAAATCAGGAAATTCCACCAAAATAATTCAGATTTCCAGCTTCTCTTGAAAAATCAACTACTCTTGACAACCCCAGGCCACTTGGTTGCCCCTCGTAGATGAGGAAGGAACTTTCCAGTGTCCACACAGGCCCACTTCACCTCTTTCTGTGCCTTGCTTGGCCCTGTAAACATTTTGAGTCTCCCAACTTAAGGGAACCATTTCAAACAAACGAAGATATATTCTGGGAGTGTCAATCCACTATTAATTAAACCCGATTGCCTTCACGCTGACTTAAAAGAAAAAACCTTGAGAAGGAAGAAAGAAGCAAAATAAGAACAGGGACAAAGTCATATGTGCTTGACTTGGCCAAAGGCGGTACACCAAAGGCAGATGCACAAATACCGCTTGCCTCTAAACGTTAGAGTCTAAAGGGACAAACAACTCTTCAGTTGTGTACCTGTGAAAACTCTGTTCCTGATATTTTAATGTCAGATAACCGCAGCATTCGCTGTTCCCTGGATTCCAGTTTATTTAAATATTTCTGAAACATCTCTGTCTCCGTTTTGAGAGCAGAGTTTCCATAGCTGCAAGACAGAGTGCACCTGAGTAAGTTCCATGAGTAGGTATGCCAACACCAAATCAATCGTATTTAACACCTCCTAGCGAGGCATGACCTTCTACAAGATACGTAACCTCTTAATGCCTCAGTTTCCTCATCTGTAAAATGGGAATAATCACAGCACCTACCTTTTAGGGTTGCAGGAAGGAATGTAAAGCCGTCAGGACAACGCCTGGCACACAGTAAGTACTAGCTACGTATTTGATATGTTTTTAATACGTCTAATGAGCCACAGAATTCAAAGCAATAATATTACATTGAAAATTGTGGCTGGGATGAAGCGACACGTTTCATCTTCAAGCATCTTCTAACCCATTTGTGAAATTCCTTCCGAATTAATTCATTCTTGAAGTCACGTCCATCATCTTCAGAGGTTTCCTTTGGTTTAATTTTTCAGGTTTTTTTATTTTTATTTTGTTTCCCCTGTCTTTGTTTCCTCACCCACCTTGGGAGTTACTGCACCATTATTATTTAAGATCACATATGCAAAATACTTGGCGCGGAATAGGCACTCAAAAAATAAGAGCTATTAGTGCCTTAGCAGGTTTGGCTCAGTGGATAGAGCCTCTGCCTGGGGACTGAAGGGTCCCAGGTTTGATTCTGGTCAAGGGCACATGCCCGGGTTGCAGGCTCCATTCTCAGTAGGGGGTGTGCAGGAGGCAGCTTATCAATGATTCTCTCTCATCACTGATGTCTCTCCCTCTCCCTTCCTCTCTGAAATCAACAAAAAATATATTTAAAAAATAATAAGAGCTATTAGTAGTCATACCTCAGCTCAAACCTAAACTGGTTATAGATCCCTGGCAGAACACCTATGTAGCCAGAGCCAGGATGTTCTGTGTGAGACCAATAAGTTGTACAATTACCTCTACTACATCATGGAATCTTGCCATCCAATTTACCTTCTATAGTCGGTAGAAAACAGACTGCTAAAAATACAGAATACTGGGCCAGTTACTCTTTTGTTGTTCATCTCCATGCTTATAGGATGGTCCAGGCATAACTTGACTCCTACTAAAAATATCAGCTGCCACTCTCATTTTACCATAGATTCTTAGCATTGGCAAGGTGCTTAGAGGTCGCCTGGTCCAACCAGCCACCGCTGAGCAGAGGATGGGCTAAGCATACATTTTGGCACCAGGCAGACCACCAGGCCAGGCTCTGGCTTCACCCATTACGCTCCACCGGCCCCAGGCCCTCACACCTCCACATTGTTCTCGCTCCATCATTGCTTGTTAGTTCAGTGACGGGGGACTCGCAGAGGTAAAATGCAAAGGCGACTATTCCCCCCACTTTGTGGGGGTCTCAGTTTCTCAGTGTTCAATGCGGTCTGGACCGTCTCTGAGGTCCCAGGCCACACGGTGAGTAAGGGCCGCCCCAGAAGCCAGCGGCCCCGTACCTGAGCTCTTCGACCAGGCTGAACAGCTGGATAACAGGCAGATCGTTCTCCTCCGCGATCTGAAATTCGCTGACAGTCGAGGTCTCGGTGTCATCGTCAGTCATCATGCTAACCAAGCGGCCCTTGCCAACGTCAGGTGTGGCCAACCCAGAGCGCCCGGTACTGGCGGCTACGTCCGGCTGCAACCAGGCAGTGCGTTGCCTGGCGACCGGACGCGGGCGTGGAGGGGCGTGGCTTCAAGAGGCCCCGCCCAGCGCTCCCCCGCCCATCTCCGCGCTGCCTTGACCAGGGACCTCAGCGCGTTTGCTTTTACTTCCTCAACAATAATTCTTAAGATGATAATAATAGTAAGGACTGTTTCTCCAGCACTTACTACGCTCCTTGCCACCTTTGCAGCAGCCTTGTAATAATATCCATGACTCTCTTTACTCTCCAAACGAGGAAACGGAGTCACAGAAAGTGAAATCCACTTGGAGTGTTTTCCTTCCTCTACCTCACTGTGAGGCTTCTACTCTGCTCACCACCTGGTGCTTCTTGCATACGAACTGCACTTTCTCTTAGATACCAGTATCCTGCATTCCTGAAAGGAAAAAAAAAACACCTGGCTGGTTATTAAATGAATATACATTCAAGAGACCGTTAGGCACCGAATGTGTCCTGAGCAGCTGGGGGGACTGCGTGGAGCACACCACGCCCACCCTCAAGGTGAAATGATGCAAACAGTTCCCAAATCGGCTCGTTGCAACCCGAGAGGTTATGCCTCACACCGTTTCGTAGTTATCATCTCATCGAAGCCTCAAACGTCTTAAGGAATTGGTATTACTGTCTTCCTCTTACAGACCAAGAAACGGAGGGATAGAGTAGATTAGGTGAGTTGCCCATGGACACACAAGAATGGCATCAAGTTCTAGCCGGTTTGGCTCAGTGCATAGAGCCTTGGCCTGCGGACTGAAGGGTCCTGGGTTTGATTCCCGTCAAGGGCACATGCCCGGGTTGCAGGCTTCATCCTGAGTAGGGGGCGTGCAGGAGGCAGCTGATCAATGATGATCTCTTATCATTGGTGTTTCTATCTTTCTCTCCCTCTCCCTTCCTCTCTGAAATCAACAAAAAATATATATATTTTTTAAATGAATGGAATCAAGTTCTTAACTTCTACACTGATGTGCGTCATGGTCATGGCAGGTCTGGGTGAGCAGCAGGGTAGCTTTCTTCTGCCCCCGTTGGGATAGAAGAGGGCAGGATGGGCAAACTTCTCTGAGGGGTGGGGGAGGGGTGCTGGAAGTGAGTAGGAAGCAGCTGGGATAAACTGCTTAGGATGAGGGTCGGCCACCTTCCCCCACGAGGAACACGTAGTCACTAAACCCCAAAGTGCTTTGGTTTTGCTGCTTAGGGGGCACACGTTTGGGACCAGAGTGGATTCCTGAAGATGATAGAGAGCCTGAGCCCTGCCCGCCTTCTTCTCTCTGGTGGTAGGCTCTTTGGGCTCTGGGAGCAGTGCAGACCGCCTTTAGACATACTTAGCATGCTCCTGGGCCCGGGCATACAAATGGACGCCAGTCCCAAGAGGGACTGGGAAAAGATGTAGCGTGCAGCTGAAGTATGGTACCTATGTGCTTTGCTTAACAATAGAAAAGTTATTTTGATTTTCTGAATTGTATACATCATCCCATTGGATTGAATGACTATCCCATTGATTGTTATCTTACTGGTTTTAGAAAGCACATTCTTCCGTACCTGGGAAGCAGGACAGCACAATTATCCTAAATTGTTTTGGTGGCCACAGATAATGCGTTCCAGTTGACTCAGTGGTCCCAAGACCAGGACAGCACAATTACTCTAAATTGCCTTGATGGCTCTAGATAATGAATTCCTGGCAACTCAGCGGTCTTGAGACCCGAGGGCTCTAGATAATGAATTCCTGGCAACTCAGTGATCCAGAGACCCAAAACTGTAATTTAGATAACATGCTGCTTCTGCTTCTGTAAACTGCTTTTTGCAAACCAGGTTCCTCATTCCAAACCTTGAGATGTAGTCAATACCTTTGTGATCTTTGCCTATATAAGTCTGGTTTTGCTACCATCTTATCGCTATGAGATTGGGGAATGGCCCCTCATAGTCCCGGATTGCAATAAATGTGACTCTTTAATTCGACTTCTTGAGGCGTCCTTCTGTGATTCACGGGGTACATTCCAACACAGCTTTAAGGAAGGTCCAGGGGAATCACAGTGCGATACCTGGAATTGTGGGGAAAGACCACGAGGTCCACAGCAGGAAATGTCATGCCTTCTGAGAAGCAGCTCCTGGCCCATCAGTTTGGCAGCCGTTCACAGTGGATGGTCACATGAAAACCTGACTCAGCTTGCGAGCTTTAAAGAACAACCCTAAAAAAAACACACACACAAAAAAACAAAACAAAAGAACAACCCTGCCAATTGCCATTGTTATTTCTTAACATATTTATCATCACTCGGGTAATATTGTTGCTCAATAAAAACACGTATAACAACGGTGGTTTGAGATTCTATTTACTGAGCGCTACCTACGCGCCAGACGCCGTGCTGAGCTGAGCAGGTCCCACACCTTATCTCTCGGCATCGGGCTGGTGGTGCGAGGAGATGCTGGTACCTTCTCAACCCCCATGTCACTCGGGAGGAGACAGAGCCGCAGAGAAGTTGAGCAACTTTCTCAAGGTCACGTAGCTATTCCGGGTGGGGCTGGAATTCTAGCCCAGGTTCATCCCACTCGGCTCTTTCTTCTCGTCCTATCCACCCTGTGAGAGCAGTGGCTGGGGGTAGGGCCTAGGGGAGGGACGATCTGGAGACATTTTGTTTGTTATAACCGAGGGGGGGGGGGTGTCATCTAGCGGACAGAAACCAGAGGTTGCATTGGTATTAGTTTCCCAAAGCTGCTGTAACAACTACAGATGGGGTGGCTTAAGACCACAGAAAGGTATTGTCCAAATTCAAGGTGTTGGCGAAGTCACGCTCCCTCCGAAGGCTCGGGGAGAGAATCCTGTGACTTCTGGCAATCCTTGTCATTTCTTGACTTTGAGCCCTATCACTCCATGTTCACATGGCCTTCTTCTTCTTCTTTTAAAATGTTTTTATTGATTTTTAGAAAGAGAGGAAGAGAGCGGGAGAGAGAGAGAAATATCAATAATGAGAGAGAATCATGGATTGGCTGCCTCCTGCACGCCCCCTTCTAGGAATCCCGCCCACAACCTGGGCATGTGCCCTGACCTGGAATCGACTTCTTGGTTCCAGGGTCGATCGATGCTCAACGTCTTCTTCTTAGTGCCTTTGTGTGTCCTCGCCTCTTCCTACAAGGACAGAAGTCATTTGATTCAAGGCCAACCCTAAATCCAAGGAGAGTTCACCTCAGGATCTTGAACGAATGACATCTGCCGAGATCCTTATTTCCAACAAGGTCACGTTCTGAGGTTCCAGGTGGATGTGAATTTGGGGGGGCGGGGGAGGACACTATTCAACCCACTATACTGTCAAACACCCTTTCATGCGTGGGACAGCCCCCTCTGGGGAGCAGTGAGAATGCACCTGTGCTGATCCAGGCAGCTGCAAAGAGAAAGGGTCTCAGAGCAGCTTAAAGTCTAGAGACCACCCTCACCTCCACTTCTCTGGGACCACTTCCTGACCGCCTCGAGTATCTCCATGTGGACGCTGCCCCCTGCCTAGCTTTATTTTTGTAACACTCTGCATTTTGACTTAAGAATGATATGGTCAGATCCACCCAAAGTATGAAGCTTCAACCACAAATAGGTTGGGCGTCCACCTATGAACCAGGAGGTCGCGGTTCGATTCCCAGCCAGGGCACATGCCCGGGTTGCAGGCTCAATCCCCAGTAGGGGGTGTGCAGGAGGCAGCCGATCAATGGTTCTCTCTCATCGTTGATGTTTCTATCTCTCTCTCCCTCTCCCTTCCTCACTGAAATCAATAAAAATATATTTTAAAAAAGAAGAAAAAATAATAATAAAAAGAAGTACCGGCTTCTTTTTCCCCCAAAGGGAAGTTGCTAAAAAAAAAAAAAAGTCAGCTAAAGAAATTGGCTTATGGGCAGTGACTATTTGTATGTCACAGAAAAGAGACCAGCCCGGGGAGGTGGCCCATCATCTGGTGGCTCCAGAGCACTTTCCTCTCTTCTGTCAACAAATATATGAGCACCTGCTACGTGCTTGGCCCTAGGGGTGCAGCAGTGAGCAGCAAGCTCACAAGGACCTCCCAGTCTGACATGGAGAATGACAGTGAGGGAGGTGCTATAGGAGAGAGATACAGCGTGTTCAGATTTCAAGGGGTCATGGATCAAGTGAGGTCAAAGTATGTTCCACATCCGTAGATGCTGTTCAACAGTTCTTATACCAGGCTTTCACTTTTTTAAAAATATATATATTTTTAATTGATTTTTTACAGAGAGGAAGGGAGAGAGATAGAGAGCTAGAAACATCGATGAGAGAGAAACATTGATCAGCTGCCTCCTGCACACCCCCCACTGGGGATGTGCCCGCAACCAAGGTACATGCCCTTGACCGGAATCGAACCTGGGACCCTTCAGTTCGCAGGCCGACGCTCTATCCACTGAGCCAAACCGGTTAGGGCTCACTTTTTTTTTTTAAATCCTTACCTAAGGGTATCTTTTCATTTATTTTTTTAGAGAGAGAAAGGGAGAGAGAGAGAGAGAGAGAGGAATATTGATGTGTAAGAGAAACATCAATTGGTTGCCTCCTGTATACAGGAGGATGCTCCAACCAACTGAGCCACCCAGCCAGGGCCGGGCTTTCACTTTTTAAAACCGTCAGTGAGTGTGGCACTGTGCCCTCCGCCCCCTGCAGTCGGTCACTTGTTCACACGCAGCTGTGGAGCCTGGATCTGTGTCAGGCACTGGATGCGCTATTGGGATGCCAAGGTGGAAAGGCCACGGGCCAGTCCTGGCCCCACGCCCCTGAGATCTATTCCTCTCCTTCCCTGTGTTGCGGGGAGGGCTTGGCAATGAGCCCTTAGGGTACGTTTCCCAGGCTCCTGGGTCAGCTGGAGGCAGGAGAATGGAAGAAGCATGGGGGGAGGGGGCATTCCCTCTCTCTGCCTCGGCAACG